GGTCGTAGTCGGCAGTCAATGTTGACTTACATTTAACTCAAATTCGCTTCGATTTGTATTGAAAGGTAGGCATGACGTAAATCTGGTCGTATACATTTTTTTTCGTCTAAAGCATCCATCACAATACGGAAGAGCCAATGCCACCAAGGCTCTCATTGCTTCATACATGTTTTAATTTGGATGGATATATAGTTGGATGGGACGCAGTGGAAAATCGAACACATTGCCACCTACCGATTCAGACGCAAACTGCAAATACACTGGGCCTGCCACGCAAGACCAAATGTAGCCCCAGGGCCCAGCCAGACGACTAAATAGCAAAATCTAGCCGACAGGAGATACTTTAACAGTGGAAAGGTTGCAGGGCACATTCACAGCCGTATCCATAACAACCACACAGGCGTACCCTTGTGTGTTTACCCGTTGTCAGGCTCTCCTGAGTAAGACCTGTATTCTGTACATGCGTGAACATGACAATCCTATTTGTACATGTATTTAGCGGGTGGACACACACAAAAGTCATTTTCAGGGAGACAAATATCAGGCGAAAAACAACACAGACACGACAAAAGATTTACTTCAGACCTTGCATAACTTTGTGAACAGTGTAGAAGTTATGTGCCTATCCTGGGTGCACTGACATGTAACAAATATATGCAATAACGAAGAGATAAAGCATACACCATAGAAATTGGTGTGGGGGTATAAAACCGTGGACTATTCAGCATTTTACGTGTGAGGTAAATCTTTGAATATCACACCAACCTAACTCATCATTTTATACAACAACATGTGTTTCTGTTTTCTTGTATAATAGGGATTTCTGACTTACCAATAGATAAATAAATAGATGAAATCATATTGATTGTAATTTCTTGAAATAAAACCTACCAACTCCTTTCGTGCTCTGTCGACAAGCTTTTCTGTCGTCCTGCCGACCGCCGAACTCTCTAGATAAAGCAGTCGTCGTGGCGTGTTACATTAACGCGTGCGATTATATACAACGTTGCACACAGAAAATGCATGGTTCTAAACGTTATTATTTTAAACTACCAGCACATTAGACTTATCCATGAATACTGTAAGTATACAGAGATGTTCACCCATATGACGTCATTGCTTTTGTCAGGAGAGAGTCGCCACGTTTGCTGGGCTGCTGTTGTCACGTGACCAGGTCGACCGCTTCACAGCTTTCGATCCTTTTTTATGCTTTTCACAAAGAAGCCAGGCGACGTTTATCCGGCGATTTTACGGTCGGCCTCCCTCACAGTTGTGGCTCGCTAACTCCTCAAAAGGCGCAAAGGCAGATAATTACAGGACAGCACCCGCACAGTCAAGCCGCGGACAAGGTGGGGGTTAGCCTCCTGTGCAGGCTTCTGAGCGGGTGGGAGTTTTGACGTTACGTTATACACGTCGTTTTGCCAGAGAGCGTTATACCTCCAGAGAAGATTATGGGTATAACCTTTTCTGGTGATATAGTCTTCACTTGGGGTATAACGTGGAGTCGTGTGGCGCAACGGCAGCGTGCGCGACTCGGAATCAAGAGGTGCCGGGTTCGAGTCCTGACATGCCACCGATCTTGTGCCCTTGGGAAAGGCACTTTACACGACTTTCCCCACTAGACTCAAGTGAAAATGAGTATTGTCTGTCCAGTATTCGTTTCTATGTGCGGGACACAGCACCAGCAACAGCTGCCTCTGTTCCACGTGTATTGCACTGTTGCAATTTCAATAAATCAATAACGTTCTATGGTGGCAAAACTCCCACCAGCTCGGAGGCCTGCACAGGAGGCTAGCTTGGAGTGACGTGTTGGGGAATGTACAATGCACCTGTAATCGAGATCCCTTACACTAACCTCTTTGTCAGAGTTTGTTCAATCCTTTAATACTGTAGCTCTTAGTGGACACGTGTTGAAGTCGTCACAAAGGTTTTGAAGTATGTAGATGTTTGATATCGTCCCAAAGCAATGGTTATCGTGCGAAGATACCGGAAACGAAGGGACTACAGTATCCACTTCTTTGTTTGTCCAGTTCTTTGACACCTGTCGTCATCCACCTCATTTGCATGATGCGCAAAGACACCCGGGCCATCCTAAGATTCTTGTCAGTCAAGACAGAGTCGTGGAGAAGTTGTGGGCGAGACGACCTCGTCCCTGCAGCAGACGTCTTGGTGATTTCAGAAGGTAAGCGGACTTCTTTCTTCTGTCTGGCGGAAAGTTAGTGGCGCTAAGATGAGATTTGGGTTTTTCTAAATCTCTGTCCTGCTTGAACGTGTACCGTGTCGGGAACTTTTTCTACAAGTGGCCCGCGCTTTTTTTGATTGGTAACATATGTAAGAAACCTCTCTGTCCAATATACATTTTTAAGGAACTGTTTGTTTGTTTGTTTGTGTGTGCGCGCGCATGTGTGTGCATGTATGTGTGTGTGTGCATGTACGTGTGTGTGAGTGTGTGTACATGAGTGTATGTATGTGTGTGTGTCTGTGTGTGTGTATGTGCGTGTGCATGTTTACATGCGCGTGTGTTTGTGTGCATGCGTGCGTATATGTGCGTGTGTGTGTGTGTGTGTGTGGATGTGCGAATTGGTGTGTGTCTGGAGAGGGTGTGTTTTCGCATACTTTGGCCGGCATAACCAAGAACCCATAGTATTAATAAATGTTGTGATGATACGTCGTCTGTGGGTAGGTCTAGGTGTGTGTCATTATACAAACTTCCGACTCATGACATAATTCATTTGCTCATTTAACTGTGGAAATCACTCACGGGTACTTTTTCAAAGGATACATTTAGATAGATAAAGTAAAATGTAAAACCCACTTGCTTAAACGAGTAGGGTCTGCTCAATGCAGGTGGGACTGGACAGCACTACGGAAATATCCTCCTCAATGTGCTCAGCTGTCCGGATATGCTTCCGCCAGTCAGATATAGAAGGTCAATATGTAACACTTAGATTGACGGCGACATTTTTCTCGTCTATCAGCTATTTCAGCTATAGAAATCACTCCTGTTCAATAAGTTTTTTAATAACCTGGTTAGCATTAGTATTATTTAATGTCTTGGGGTGGTGTGGACTCCGGCGCACTGTTATGTCAACTTTGTGTATTTATGTGTTAATTGAATTTTGTTTTGTGCCACTGTTAAAAAACGTTATAAACGTATGACTTGTGTGTAGCCGCTACTGTAGCGTCACATTGTCCTTGCCGCTGTTTTGTTGTGATAAATAAAAAAAAGGAACTTAGCTTGTTTAGGGCCCGTCTACATACGTCACTTGATCGTCGTACGATCGCAAACTGAGGATATTGTTGGGATAGTCGTAGATTTGTCCTGCAAAATTCGGCTCTCTTGTTATAAATTGTGTGTGTGTGTGTGTGTGTGCTTGCGCGCGCGCGTGTGTGTGCATGTGTGTGTATGTTTGCATGCGTGTGTGTGAATGTGTGCATGCGTGCAAGAATGTATCTATGTATCTATTTGTGTGTGTGAGAGAAAGTGCCTTTCCCGGGTGTAAAACTGTTGGAAATTCAAGCTCAGAACCTAGCTTTTAGATAGCAAGTCAATAACCCTAGTCAGAAGGGGCAAGGCCGCCGAAATAGTCAACCATGTTCCTTTCTCGAAAACAACAATAGATAATGTCATGTGTTGCCATAATTTAAGTACAAAATCCTTTAGCTCTGCCACGTCCGTACCTCCGGTTGTTCACAACTCGCCAGGGCTACGTCCAACTCCGATTATACGGCTTGGCGAACAATGCAACATAAGTTGACACCAAATCGTCAAAGCGTACTCCTATTATTCGTGCGAACATCTAAATTTTTCCAGCCAATGACCAAAATTAAGGCCAGCGGTATGATAGACACCACCAACAGTGAATAAAAAGTTAATTCATAACTATTAGACTTCTAATAACATCCTAACTTCGGACAAATAACCACGTGGTTGCATCATCTGAATGGGGCCCTTAACGTGGCACCGCAGCTTCAGCCTGTGAATCTTTTGACACGTATCGAAAAAAATCTCCCTCTGACGCAAGTAGCTACCAAAACGGATGATCTGCCGAACAATACGCCTTTTCAAGTCGGATCTGGAGGATCCACTTTCCCCTGCCACGTCCTCAGTCCTGGGTGTAGAGAGGTCTTTGATGCGACGATGGGACGACCCGGAGTTATCCTACTCTCCAAGCAGAGGTTGTGGGGGAATTATCGTTAGCTTTTTATATATGGCCGTTTTTTGTCGCTAATCCCGTCGGTGGCCGGCGACCTTCTCTGGCCAATTTGATACTGTCTTTTTGCCACCGCTTGGCAAAAGGGATCTGCTTGGAGATTAGATACATCCCGCATACGCAAAAGATAGCCTTGTTGTTAGGGTAGATTGTACGAAAGACCAAAGGTACAATTCCACAAGGCTTCATCGGGTCAGTTCTCATCGTTCAAAACTTATTTCTCATCCTTCAAAACCCATTTCTCTTCGTTCAAAACCCAATTTCTCTTCGTTCAAAACACTCGTTCCCAGGATACTAAGGTCTTCCCAGTATGCTTTGTGCAGAGAAAATGCACTCTCTGTCCCGGGGAGACAGGACACAGATACATGTACCAACACATTGAATATACTATTACGCTATACTTTGCAGTCATACAGGATACAGTCATCTAGACAGTGAACTGTCCCGTATGTGTCAAAGTTCACGTCACCACTCGCAACAGCGCAACAACAGCTCGGAACCAAGAGGTCCCGAGTTCGAATCCTTCCATGCCACCGATGGTGTACCCTTGGGAAAGGCAATTCACACGAATGTTCTCACTTAACTCAAGCGAAAATGAGTATGTCTGTTGTGCATGCGTTTGTCTGCGTTGGTGGCGGCATAAAATAAGTAGAAAAAAATTGTGTGCCGTCGCTATGTCTTGTGATCAATGTTGGAATAAAAAAAAGCCTACCTTTATACAAGCCGTGTTGTCTTCCCCAGTCGTCCAGGTGAATACGTGTGGAGATTTAGATGTCCGTGAGGAAGATGCGTCCAGGCAGGTCGGCCGTCTGGCTGGCGCTGCTGCTGCTGGCGTGTTTGGTCCATTCCGCCGAGCCTCAGGGTAAGTAGAACTTATCTACAGTTATTTTCAATCAATCAGTTCATCTGCAGGCATCAAGTGCTGATGCATGGCAGCCACAGCCATGCACAGGCCGCCAGGTTGATCTGTCACCGGCACAGACCCTCCAGTCGTCTCTGACACCCAGCTCCCAAAGTGTGGGGAAGAGCTGGTCTTCCCATCTTGCCCTTGGGCGACCCCTTGGGCGTCTCCAGGACAGTTATTTTGAATAACTAAGATAAATATCTGTTTTCTATAATTGACGTGCAAATGAATTCCGATGTATTC